GGCAGTGCCATTTCACTTTCTAATCACATCGTACCTGGGATGTGTGTTTGTCTTTCAGAGTATTTACATTTTGTCTTTTATCATTACTTAGACTATCTCCCACAGATTGGTGTGAATAAATAGAACAAGTGGACAGGACAAGAGCCAGCCTTTATCTTTAGAAAAAATCACGCTCTTCCATCTCCATCTCGCCTGGTTTAATTCTCACACTAGCCTCGCTTTTGTCTTCTCTTTTGCATTTTATCTCCCACTGTGTTTTTGCCGTTTCTATTTCTGCTTTTTTCTGACTTGAGAAGCTTCTGGGAACTCTTCTTTTTAATCTTACTGGTCAAAGTCTGCAAGGAGACATTACATCAGGGAGAGAGAAAAGAGGAGGAAGAAGGATAATTCCCTCATTTAATTGGTTTCAAACTTTTTTCGCCCCTGGAGGACCTGTTTCCTCCGCTGTTGTGGCCAAAACACGGACACTGACGCTAAACCCATTAAATTTCACTGTAATTGGTCAAGCCACGAGCTCGTGTTAGCAAAAGCTTTCACAGTTGATTGGCATTCTCCGCGGCAGTGGTCACAAATCCCAGTCATTTCCCTTGGATAAAGTAGTCAGCTTTAGACTCTTAATTTCCCCACCGTGTATTCAGCCTCTGCTTTTGCAGCCAGTAAATGAATGGACACCTGCATCAGAACACGGCTTGTTATGTGGGAAGTCTTCCTGCCTGCACTTAGTGGCACATGCTTGTTTTTTGCTCAAAGTAGAATAAGGTTTTTAATTCAACATTATTATCGTTAATATTCTCATTTTACAAAACAAACTCCAAGATACGAACCGCTAAAAAAGCATTTAGTGTCCATGTGAAGTGCTGGGCCACCAATTGCTGCGTGCACAGGTCCAGTCTGGTTTAGCACTGATTCCAAGTCTCTGGAAATCTACTGGACAGGCGGAATATCCCACATGATATTACAAATGTTTCTGGTGTTCTGATGATAGTGGTGGAAAGTGCTGTCTGATGCACTGGTTTGAAATCTTCCATAGGGCCTGTGCGCATTTACCTCATGTTATTGCGTCTAACCATTTACTGATCCCTTGTGCCTCATGGATGGAAGCCCTATTATCCGGGAAGAGACCACTCCTATCGAGATGGGAATGTTTTCTTTCATTATTACATGTGATCACTCACTTAAAAAAAACTTAGAGTTTGGACTTTCCTTTAATCTTGCCATCCATCTGTGTGAGTTGGGTGTAACTGTGATTCTGTTTTGTCCATAATAGATAGATAGATAGATAGATAGATAGATAGATAGATAGATACTTTCAACGCATTTAAACGCATGCTGATCATTTCATTTAGAGCTGCATGTAATGCATAAATATCACCGCTATTAGTGCTCAAAAGCAGCAGCAGCTATTTTTGACATGGTTCCACCAACTGAAGGAAGTATTCCTCTGAGTTTGGTGCATGCTGACATGATTTCACACTATTTTCGCAGATTCACGAGCGGCACATTCATGCTGCAAATCTCCTGTTCTGCACTCATCTGCAACATCCCAAAGGTGTTCTACTGGATTAAGATCTGGTGAATGGGGAGGCCTCCAAAGCCCAGGGAAGTCAATGTCGTGTCATGAAATCAATTTGAGACAACTTTTGATTTGAGACTTGGTGTGTCAGCATGCTGGAAGCGCCCATT